GGTAGAGACCAGGTAAAGACATCCATGAAGTTGGGTAACCAGTAAGGGTGAGGCGAGCAGTTAAACTGTCGGATATTCATCACATTATTCTCGTACTTTAGAACGGCCGCCTTGTTATTATACACGTCCAGATAATTAGGAGCTGAGAAAATGGTGATAAGACTTGGGAATCCTGTGGTTTGGCTTTTACGATACATCCGGTAACCAGCATCTTGAGCTTCATGGGCACGTATGATAGACAGTAAATTGTTTCTTTGTAGAAAATCGCAACATGCTGCATAGCTATAGAAATATGAACAACCTCTGACTGAGTTGTGCGAGAAATGTTCTGCATTATTTTCATTGCCAAAATCCTCAAGAGGATCAGACCAAAGTAGGTCACACATTGCTCCAAATGCAGGTGGTTCTTTGAATCTATCTAGTTTACGAATATCATCTAAGCTGTTAATTTCTGGAGAAAGACCACCATGCACACATAGAAATTGCTGGTTCATAAGAGCAGCAAGAGGTAAGCAGTCAAATGCATCCATACACGCATCATAAACTTTCTCAGAATATTTGATTTTACATTCTTGTTTGAAGGTAAAATATTCTGTCAAATGTCGGCATTCGTGATTACCGCGTAATAGGAATAACGTCTTCGGATAACACAACTTCAAAGCCCAGAGGTAAAGAACACATTCTATACTGAAATAACCTCGATCGACATAATCACCTAAGAATAAATACTTGGTACAAGAGGGCGAACCTCCCACCTCGAACAATTTCATCAAATCGTAAAACTGGCCATGGACGTCTCCGCACACGGTCACCGGTGAATCAATCTCGATCATAGTTTTTTCTGATCGTAATAAGGTGGCACCATCTTGGATGATTCGCAAAGCCGCATTTTCCTCGATTCGACCTTCTAAGATAAAATGTTGCTTCAGTACATCTGGAAGAGGCTTTCCAGTTTTTTCATCGAATACTTCCGACACAGTGAGCTTGTGACTGGGAGGGAAAGCGACACTTTGGATCATACGCTGCGTAGTCGACACTTTATCATTGCTCCCGGACATATTTGTCACATAAAAAACACTAGGTCTAATCCATACACGCCACTATTTTCAAAATGGCAGAATAGATATAATACTAAAACAGAATCCCGATTTCACGACAGAGAAACTACTGCGCACTGGAAAACAATGCGCAAACATCTGGCGAGTGGTCAATAAAATAAACAGGGATATCGAGCGCGTTTTATTACTTTTGAAAATATCATTATGATAGTAACACTGGCAATATCAGGAACAGTTGCCATTATATTGAAATTAATGATACCATTCTTAAGATAAATCGTTCATAAAATTATGTTAAAAACTTGTATTTAATTCCACTATTTTTATTGTATAATGTTTTATTATTTTAAATACACGATTGGTCTACACGAGTAGAATAAATAAAACGATAAAATTAAGTACTACAACAAAGTATAATTATTCTAAATCATATAATAATCATATAGGTATTTGATAAAATCAAGAAGATACAAATAATAATAAATTTTCTTTTCAGATCGTATTACCTATGGAATAAATACACATAAGAGATGGCATAAAGTATTTTACTGCGGTATAAAAGCTCAAAGTACATCATAAGAAAATATCATACGTAACATAGGCATAAACAAGCCATAAATTCTTATAAAATAAAATAGGTACCTAGTTAAGAACATTGTTGGAAGTTAATAAAAATATAACTCTAAAACAAAATAGAAAATATTTAATTCTTGCGGACATCTCAAGAATTAAATTCCTTTAGTCAGTGTGATTGTAAGTTACTAGATGGCGTTTTATATTTTATTTATAATAATTTAATTCTTTAATAACAGTCAATATTTGTCATAATAGCAATAAACTTTAATTATTTTTAGTTTCTCTTGATAATATTTTAAATAAATTTTAAAAATATTCCACATTTAAATTTCAAAATTGTTCTAGCACCAAGCTTAGTGATTTACGTAATAATATAAACGTTTGATACATTTATAAATATTTCAGTTTCAGTCAGATTGATATTAAAATTTTAATATATATCAGAGCATATCTAAACTAACATAATATTAATAAAAAAGTATATATTTTGGAAATATAATATAGAATTCTATTAATAAGTATTTTGTCGTCATTATAATTGTTCGGGTGATGGTACTTAATATATACCGATATCGAGTTTTATATTAATATCAATGCTATCAACCCCTAGATTAATAATTTTGTAGATTTTTTTTTTTATAAAATTGACATCTGTCATATGACAAGAGAGCGGCGACATCCGGTCTCCGTAGAAAACGTTCAAGATTTACTTATTCATACAGTCATACTTATCCATCTTTTATTTACATAGGTGTCTATGAGAGTACTATTCTGTAAAAATACATTTTATATTCACATAATGCAATTACCAAAATAATAGAGAATCTAATTTCCGAGCGAAATATGGGTCACAATTCGGAACGTTATGGTTAGATTGATTTTTCGATTATTGCTTTAGCTTATTTTTAATCATAAAAGTGATACAATAACTTAGTTTTTTTAGAAGTTAATAATATGTAAATAACTATTATCCTTAAATTTTTTATTGGGTATTTTAAAATTTTCTCGCGCTAGTCAGGAAGGAGACAGGCAATTTTCAGTAGTATTCGATGTTTCTCCCTTTTATATTTAATAAAATAACAAAAAAACTATTTAAACATAATTTTTAAATAAGTATATGTTTCTGTCCCTAAAATTAATATATTGCACTAGAATTCATTAATTATAAGATAATAAATAATTAAACTCGAAGGACAAGGCAGAAACCATGGATACAGTTTTTTAAAGTTACTGGCATACATTAATTTCATAATATATATAAAGGATAATGCTGATTTTTCATAAATAATGTAGTGATTACTTGTTCGTACAGTACATGTAACGTTCTCACTTTGGGTGTACCTGCGCACGACGATAAAAGCAGGTTAGTTAGACCCATCGTGACGAATTCCACTATAAGAATTAACTACGATGGTTTCCAAGGGTAACCGAGTGGAGGTCGACCTGATAGGGTGTATTGCTAGCAATGGGTTCATTAGATCCCATTACTAACAGTCCCTTTCTCCCCAGTAGGCGATAATATCGCGCTCGTCCATTTCAGCACATTTGACAGTTTGAAGGGAATTCGTAGTCCACTTACCTATTATTTGTAAACTATTTGGGTAACAACTCGAAATTTGGTAAAATTTTTAGTAACAGTGATGTGCATACATGCATTTTTATTCTTTGCATGGAACTGTTAGAACTTAAATCTTAATATTGAATATATTTTTGTTACAGTGCCCATGCAAATGTAAATTATCTTGTATATAATATTTTGAAAACAACTGTTGAGTTTCTTGCAGGTTGTTCTCAGCAAATAACAACATCCCGAACCCAGTAGTACAATCACGAAAAACTGTCAATTTCAAATAATATAGGAATCCAATCCAATAAAGGACTAAGTCAGTGATTCTCAACCTTTTTTTTGTTGCGGCACATATTTAACGATTTCAAAATTTGGCGGCACACAAAGAAAAAGATAAAAATTATTTACTTACTACAACACACTGCATAAATAGTTTATGACAAAAATTTTAAACATTTGCAAAATTTGGCGGCACACAAAAGTGCCGCGGCACAGTGGTTAAGAATCACTGGACTAGGTATTTCATTCGGTAGTATTTTTTTAAGTTTGTTACCGCATAACTCTGTCATTTATAAACGGATTTGAAAAATACTTTTATATTTGAAAGGATATACTTTCAGATTGGTTTCATAGAAATTTTATTAAAATTGTTTCTGTAAGTATTTTAGTTTTTAAATCATAATAACTGGTTTTGCTACAACTGCTAAACATTCTATGGGATCAATTTGTTAGTATGTCCTTTCAGATGAAAAAAGAATCTTTTAAATCGATTTTTACTAACAGAGTTATAAGGAAACAAACAAAAAAAAATACTACTGAATTGAAAACCACCTTTTTGAAATCAGTTGAAAATAATGTTTAAGTAGGCGTCTCTTTATTTAAAACAAATAAATACTTAAGCATGTATAAATTAATGATATTTTATTTACTCAAAGTGTAACATACATATGCAGTATTATTATATATGTAATTATAATATAATTAAACAAATCGGTAGGATTTAATATGCGTTGTAGCATTAGTAAAACAGTTCCCATATATATATGTAGTTACATGAGCTAAACTGACCTTATGTATAGATGTGTTTATTGCATAAAATAGAAACCTGATAGTTATTTTACAGTGGTGTACCGGATCGCATAAATACATTTCTTTTTGAATATTTTTTTATATACTCAAAAATTGCGACAGTTAGAAATATCGCCCTATTTGCTCTGAATATTCGTATATAAATTCCTTTATAAATTGTAATTATTATTTGAGAATATTCAATTTAAAAACTTTGAAGATAGGGGGAAAATGGCATCTGCTTTTATGTTTTCTGTAATAAGTCGAATGAAAAATAAAGAAACCTAAAAATAAATTTTAGTACGGAAGTGCCGAACTATCGATTTGCGAATTATACTCATATTTGATTAAAGTTTCTACGCGAATTCCAAAAGAAGGAGATTTTTAATTCGTCTAAATTTTTTATATGTAGGTACTACTTATAGATAGGTACTTGACTAAAGTTTTAAAGCGAATTCCTAAAAAAGGATATTCATAACTCGTCTGATTTTTAGTAACTATGTATTACGCGATCACGTCGTTAATTATGAAGCGATTATCGCAATTCTTTTTGCAATCGATCGAATTTTCATTATTGGTTTTATTTCAATTTTATGAGGATTAAAGCTGCCGTTTATTTTGCATAGCAAAAAATTAGTTAAAAAATAAATTTAAGCAAGGTTCGCCGATATATATCATGATATATATCACGATATATATCAATTGATTTTTATCTTGATAAATATCAGTTGATTTTTTCCTGTCTTCTGAACTAAAAAATTTGGAGAATAATTTTAACACGTAGCGAAAAACTACAATTCAGAATAATTTAAATTGTTTCCCAAAATGGCAACCTCATTTAAAGTTAGGGAAATCCCCTTTAACTTACTAGTACGGCTAGCTTTTTATTGAAATTCAAAGCTTGTTTTAGCTTCATATCATATAGGGTTTATTTTACGAAGTAATAAAAATATGGGGGATTCCTTGGTGCTCCTAGCGTTAATAATTATCACTTTCTAGGGAATTGCCGCAAGCGTGACAATCGAAATATTTGACAAACGTTGACTCATTAATGTTTTTCACTTCTTTTAATTAAGACATAATATTTTAGTGCTTACGATTTCTTTCATATTCTCAACTTATTATTTACGTGAGACGTAAAGCCAACTAATTGGAGTTAGTGTAAACTAATAATATGTGTGAATGTTAATAATGAAAACACTGTTCTTGTTTATAATTACTTCTTTAAGTATTTTCCTACATGTTTCTAATATAATACAATTCGTTTCTTTATAACCACTTTTATAATTTTTTTTTTTTAATTATTATTAAAGCGACATTTAAATCTTTTATAGCAAATACAAAGTTCCATTTTTTAAAGACAATTCCATAAAGCTTACATCTATTTTTTTTTTACAGACACAAGACCATAGTTAAAATACATAAAGGTTAAGTCTGTTCTTTTTTACCTCAACATAAACTGCTTGTTATATCTACTTTCTGGCATTTTTTGTACCCTACATGGTAAGTGTTACTTTTAATTTTTCTTAAGCTTAGTCCTACCGACTACATTGTTGTAGACTGTGATTTGGTTTCCCAATAGTTTAATGAATAAAAATCTGTTTATGGGTTTTCTGGGTCAGTGAATGTGATAGTCCGTGGCAACCGTGATACATGTTTTTCCTGGTGTTGGGATCGTTGCTAGTGAGTTCTTGTTTACGAGTAAGTTAGTTCTTGACAATTTTTGAATATTTGTTTTCAGAGTTCGTGAAAGAAACAGCCATGCCAAAACCTGCGCATCCTGTATGGACCAATTTTAATGTTATTGTCAAGACTGGTAACAAGGACAAATGGGCTCAATGTAAGAAGTGCAAGAAAGAGCTTCAAGGTATCCCTGAGCGGCTTTGTTAACATATGAGTATTTGTCCAAGACCAGCGGCTTCTAGCTCAATTTCAAGTACAAGTTCATCAACAACAGTTTCTAGTACTCATGCTGCACAACAAACAACTTTAAGTAACGAATCAGTAGCAACAACTAAGCGCTCATTGTCCACTATCGACTTTTTAAAAAAATAAGTAACTGTTACATCAGAAACTCATGCGAAAGAAATTGATTTAGCGATTGCAAACCTTTTCTATGCCACGAATACGCCCTTTTTGCACGCCGACGATATTAAATTTAAAGAAATGATCACAGCGCTTCGTCCCGGCTACAAATCTTCTACGTCTCATCAAATAGGAAGACGGTCATCAAGAAGGAAGGACTTAGAAGATAGATATGATGACATTTTTCAAAAACGGTATTTATGTTTTTGGACGGTTGGTCTAATGTCCACAATGAGCCTATAGTTTGCTGTAGCCTCACGACACCTGAAGGGCAATCAATATTGGTTGGTACCATTGATACGTCAGGCCACCCTGATACTGTGGAATATTTGAAAGGAAGTTGCCACGAATGCTATCACTAACAGTAATAAAAATTTTAACGTTAATGTTAAGAGTTTCTTTACTGACAATGCCGCTAACGTTACGAAAATGAGACACGAGCTATGTAAAGATAACGAAGACATAATTCAATATGGTTGCTGTTGCTGGAAATATAATTAAGGTAGTAAAATATTTTCGGAATAAACATATACCTGTAAGCAGGTATGGTGCTGCTGGTGGTAAAAAGTTGGTGATGCTCATTACCGTCAGATAGAATACCACGAGAGATTGTATTCGGTCTTACCTTGACAATCGTGGAATACTGGTGCAAATATGCCAAAATAATAAGAATGAAATTGATAACGACATAAGTAAAATCGTACATGACACACAATTAACAAACAAAGCAATTCAACTGCTGTTACGTTTGGACCCAATTGCTAGAGCCTTAGATTGGACCCAAAGGGATGGAACAACAATATCCGTGGCAGTAGAAATGTGGCACCGGCTTGAAAAGGAATTTGAAAATGAAATACCAGAAGTTAAAAATTTATTCCAGCGCAGACATGATATGGCGTTTGGGCTCTGTTCATTACTTGGCCAATATATTGGACCACCGGTTTCTGGGTAAACAAGCCAACCAACGATCAAAGAGACAAAGCTTTTGGTGAAATGCAGCCCGATCATATGCCTACTGTAATGGCATTAATGACACAATCATGTTAATGTTTCCCAAATATTTGTTTGGGTCACAATTTGTTAAACAAACCTCATCACCATTGGAATGATGGAAGCTCCTAGATATGAACTCAAACGATCCGCGTTGGCTCAACTGGGATGGCGAAGAAGCGTTTCAGGCACTCTGTAAACAATTACTGTCAGCAGTAGCGTCAACGGCAGATCTTGAAAGAATTGTCTCTACCTTCGGCCTGGTTCAATTAATGTTTCGTAATCGATTAGAAACCCCAAAAAGCGCATAAATTGGTTCATATCTTCAAGACTTTTAACCAGTCTGCAAGGGGTGTCCATAGTTTAGCTGCAACTCCATCATACAATATGGACTGGATTTAGAATCCCAGTGTGAATGTCAATAGGGACATCATAGAAGAAACAGAAACAGAGGTCGATTGGGACTGGGAGCCAGATGATGATGTCCCACTCATAGATCCCGACGTTGAATGATTACTTTTATAATTACAAATTATTATTAAAATTTGTTGATTTATCTCGCAAAGAAATTAAGATTATTATTATAATAATAGGTACTTGTTTTTTTAATTGATCATTAAAAAAATGTTTCTCAAATAAACACTAAGTAATTCTTTTGTTAGTTGTTAAAAGTTTTTTTTAAATAATAAATGTAGTAATAATTTGATACTTATTTTATTTTACATATTCCTTTCACATTTTTAAGCGTGTAATTCCCTTACAGAATGAAATTCGCTTTTTTTTCTTAGCCGGGATATATATCTGATATATATAACAAACTTGGATTTTTTCGAACTCTGAATTTATGTAAATACACAATACGACACACTAGGTAGGACATAACTCGGAAACATGTCATTGTAGGGCATCTACGAAACATCCCACAATTAGGCTACACAATCTAGTAGGATATCTAAGAAATATCTTGTCGTTTGTTGGTGCGTTTACGGCTATAGTTGCTTCTTTTTGCGGAGTAATAATATTTGTTATGGAGGTGGTTATATAACACTAAGTATACGTATATGTAACACTAAATATATGAAATACCTTATTTATCTTCATTACTTTATTGTAGCGGATAAAATGTCATACCTATCTAAGTTGTAATAATTTCTTCCATAAACCACGTATACAATTGTGTTGTACCTAAGTACTTAGACCTGTCTACAAACTGAATAAAATATGGGTCATGTCACTCATGTCCCTAATCATTTCTCGAATCTCGCCGTGTTCTTACAATGAATGAGCATTCTTTTGTTCTGTGAATACTTATTAGTGGTATGAATTACGATAACAACTGGTACAAATTTAAAAATAAAATGTTATCAAATAATCCTATATTACGAGTATAGCTTGGTACTTTAATAGGTGTAATACTTGAAGACATAAATACAAAAGCTAATCGCAAGCTATGTAGATGTCGTTAAAATAAAAAGTTATAAATAGTCGCTAGTGATAAAAATAAAATAGCAACAGCATTGTTTCTTTCACGGGTTCGGCTTTAATTATCAATTAGTTTTATTTGAAAAAGTTATCACCAAATTGTTTTGTACAAAATTATAATTTACAGTTTTTATGCAATGTTATGTACTAAGTGTATATATACAGAGTATACCAAGCATACTTAATTTCTTATCGTGCCTACTCAATAATTTTCGGTAAAGTAATATAAAATAAGGTTTAGAAAAACTTAATAAGGTACTTTTAAATTAATTATGTTTTATAGTAGTGAATTTACTCCACATAAGCTCACTGTACAAATCTAAGACAAAGTCATGTCATACATCTTCGTCTCCATCAAGTATGGATGGATGAAAGGATCGGTAATGGATTATTTCATTTATCATTATAGATAAATAATCCTAATAATATTATAAATACAAGTTTGTAGGGATGGATGAATGGATATTTGTTACTATTTTACACAGAAATTACTGACTGGATTTGAATGAAATTTGATATACAGATAGGTTATGTCCTAAATTGGCACATAAGATACTTTATGTACACACGTAGGCAGTCACGGTACATAGCTAATATTTAATATTAGTATTATATTATTAAAACGATTAGTGCCGTTAATAAAGTCTCTACAAAGCGAATTAGGAACTAAAATTATCTACTATTATGAATTAGCAATCCTTTTCTTTTATCACTTTATTGATTAAAAATGGCGCTATTTGTCGGGGAAGAGTATATTTAACTTATTTAGTTATAAGGAAAAATTTGTGATACGTATCATCGTAATGATAAGAATTAATCAAAATATAACGCATTCCAAAGCACAGTAATAATCTATGGAAGCAACTGGGAGGTCGTGAGCTGTCTTCTTGCGTAGGTACTTTGGTAAGTACATGGGTAGTGTTTTTTTTTTTAATAAATGATAATGTAATGGTAGTCCTACCCGCGTTATCGGTATACACCGGCGAGGCACCAGTGAAGGATGATAGATGAGGATGAAGTAGGTCAGTTAGCCCATCGTGACGAATTCGACAAGAATTGTTCACGATGGTTTCCAGGGGGACCCACGTGGAGGTCGATCTAATAAGGCATATTGCTAGCAATGGGGCTGTCAAACTCCATTGCTAACAATCCCTTTCCCCCCACATGGATAGTGTTTAGGCGATGAACATAGATCAAAGATAGTAGTCGCGAATGTCACGATGGAGAATTTACTTTATTACGACGGAGCGAGTGCGTCTCTAGGTTTACCTGTGAATTTCAATTATAAAACAATAGTTTATTTAAACTTCCGATGCAAAATTATATAATTTAGGTAAGTATACATATGGCGGACATAACACCTAATTGCGTTCTCTACTAGTCAACCATGAGGCAGAAAAATAAATATGCGGTGCATTTATTACTAAAATATGTATAGATAAATATTGTTACTACATATTTCATATATATATATATATATATATATATGACCATTAATTAAAAATAGTACCGAAAATTTGCTATTAATTTTTATTACATTAGTGCTGCCTCTGCTGAACAATTTAGGAACTAAAATTACTGTAGTTCCGCCAATGTCATTTAATAGCAAATAGCGCAATTTTGCAGAAAGTCTTGAAGTTAAACAGTGACCTATTGTTGGTTTCAATGGCACTTAATTAAAAAATTATACAAAAGATATTGGTCTACAAATTTTAACTTTAGAAATAACCTTCATGTAGCATAGTCACTCTAATTTGTGCATGTGGGGCGGGAGATGGAGGGGGAATTATTATATTATAGTAATACGGATTACCAGTGTCATTGCTAGCAATATACCATGTCAGGCTATGTCAATATACCGTTGTTTGAATCAATTCAACCCATAAGCCCGCAGGAATTGTTTCGTGAGCATGCATTAAGGTTCTTGCCATTTCTACCACAGTTCGATTCCCTTTCAGTTGGATTTTGTTGTAGTGTATAGGGAATTGTTAACTGTTGTTTAATGCCTTTCTTTTTTAGAATAGCGCTAACGTTGTCGTTGTTGATTTCTCTTCCATTGTCACATAAGTTTTCTTATAACATGACCAGCTGCTTTCAGTTCAGCTATCAGAAGGGTAAGTTTTAGGTATACTTAAGACTTCTGGTGTAATAGATATACCCAACGACACTTTGTATAGTACGAAGTAGCGATGTTTAGAAATCGAATAAGGAAAAGGTCCACAAATATCCTTACAAATTAGTTCTCCTGGTTTTGGTGGCTTCTCTTTTTCTCTTTCTTCTAAAATAGAGGTTGATAGTTGATTTATATCAACAGTTGGTTTTAAGCACCTCATTTTTGAACGGTAAAGACCGCCTTGCACATCTCGAGTGCTAATCAGTTTTTTGCACTATTTATCTTCATAACGCATTCGAACGGAGTTGACTGGAAAATACTGTCTTTTATGATATCATGAGTAGCTAGGACAGAATAAAGGTTTTTGCTTATAGCAGGTACATACCATACATTCTTTAAAAGTTCAAGTCGTCCCTCTACCTCAGCTTCTGCACGGATTGTACCAATCCCTATGGCTTGGATACTATGCCCGTTAGCGCTAGTAACCGTGTGCGAACTTTTAAAGTAAATGAAGTCCTGAAAAAGATCTCATTTGTTGGTTACATGACTGGTTGGTCAACATACCAATCTGTAAATATTTTATAATGTACGATGTTACAGAGAATATTTTAGTGACAAGACAAAAATATTTATTTTTCTAATTAATTGAGCTGTAGGTCTATTGCCGTGTACGACCTCTTTCTATCATGTCTTCTATTTTGTTAATTATGATTTTTTCGTGGGCACATAACTGTTGTTATTAAAAGTGCGATCGGTCTTTGACATCAAGAGCCAGGTTGACTTAAAACCAAAATATTCGGAGGGGAGGGTATGTAGAATTTGATATATCAACAAAATTTCCGGCAAATCACTAGTTGTATGTAGTAGTTGTTGTAAGATGAACGTACCTAGTTTAAATATGTATAAAGGAACGCATCTTAATTGACAGATGACATTAGTTAACATGTATGTACTAGCGGATCTTCCGGTTGCTTTCTCACCTTTGTTCATTCTCTTTATGTTAATAAATATGTTTGCAATTAAATAAGTTTTATTTAAATATAACATGGCGCAGTCGTAGCGGTATTCGAAGTAGTAGTCATGGTTGAAGTTGCAATTATCGTATTCAAAGTGTAAACGATATTGTATCAAGTATTAAATATCGTAAAAAGTTTTTCAGCCAAGCAGACGCCATCATGGAAGGATCGGTTAAATTGCCTCCAAATTTCGACATAAGATCGCCTAATGCAGCCTCAGAGTGGAAGGTATGGATACAGGCATTCGAGGATTATTTAGTGAGCATTGGAAAAGATGACTCGCAGGACAAAGTAAAATTATCACTTTTGCGTAATATGATGGGAATCGAATCTGCAAGATTGCTACATATATTGCCGATTACGGAAACAGAATCGCAAGTCTATGCAAATGTTATAAGAGCTATTAATACTTTATGTAAGTCCAAAGCAAATCAAGTATTTGAAAGATATAAATTTAATAAGAAAACAATAAAGAAGGCGAAAGTCATTTTTCATAATTTTCTCACAGATTTAAAACAGCTGCTTGCTAATTGTTCGTATAAAAATGTAGAAGGACAAGAATCATTAGAGGACCAAATATTAAGAGATAAAATAGTGCAAGGCATATACGACAAGTCCTTACAGGAATCTCTACTAAGAATAGACAATTTAACACTTGAGAAGGCAACCAACTGATGTCGTACACGTGAAATTAGTCAAAAGCAGGCAAAAGAGATGAATCCAAATATAGAAATAGATATAGTGAAGAAAAGAAATAGTTTAAAACAGAAGGAAAAGGAAGTATATCAAGGAAATATTTTTGTATATAATGGGAAACAGAAAAATAAAGGAAGGCAGCATGCATATCAAGAAAATAAAACAAAATATATACAAAAATTTAATTGTAGGCGCTGTAAGAGAAACCATTCCGAGGGAGTGTCCAGCCTTTGGGCAGAGATGTCATAAATGTGGATTAAAGAATCACTTTGCAGTTAGTTGTAATGTGAAGAAAAAGGTACAAAATGTAGATTGTAATTCTGACAGTGACTCTAATTCTAAATTGTATTGTTGCAGTATAACGAGAAACAAAGTAAAAGGTAATAAAAAGACACACTG